GCCGGCAAGGCAATCACTGATTGGTATGTCTTTTAGCCAATCAGGAAATGTCACAGACCTACTGAATGATGTGTAGATTGTATAGTAATTCTTTTTGGCGGCAAAGGACAGGTTTATGTGTTTTAATAAAGGTGGCTTCCAAAATATAGTGATGAAAGGTTTACAGACCATTTGCAATAATTTTAAACCTGCTATCCATGTAGTTGTCAGCACAAGTCGGGTTCACTAGTAAATGCTGGCCAATCGCTGATTGGTGGTAAAACCTTTGTTTTACAGAAGCGACATGGTAAATTCTTTTCTTTCACACTCTTAGTTCTTATGGATGTCTTAACAAGAAAGATCGATACCAGGTATACAGGTATCAAAAACATTAGTTTTTGTTATTATATCAAATATGTTCATGGAACCTATAGTTTATAGAGGACCAGTTCATAAACTCAATTCGTGTAAATGCTTAAAGGAGAAGTTGAAAAAATAGAAAAGCTATATAACGTTGTTAAGAAAATGGATGACTTAACTGATGAAGAAAAAGAAGAATTCAGAGATAATAACATTTGTCATACCTATGATAAGGTAATCATAATCAGATTCAATTCTAAGGAAGAGATAATAAGAAAAGGAGTCTATACTTATGGTTATAAGGACTCGTTTGATAAATGCTATGAAACAAAATTACCACTAAAAGAATCATTTTATAATATACTGAATGAATGTTGTATATCTTATGATTACTATAAGCACTCCCAAAAGTTTGGAAAGAATTTAAGATACAAAACATAGGAGAATATTCTGATCTTTATGTAAAGACTGATATATTTATATTAGTTGATATTTTCGAGAACTTTGTTTGAAAACATGTAAATCAGATCCTACTTGGTACTACACAGCATCTGGTTTATCATGGAATGCAGTGTTAAAAATGGCCGATGTTGTTGTTAAATTATAATTATTGACTAAATATTGTTACGTCTCCGTTTGTTAATTAACTTTACCGTAACTTCGTTCCGACG